CAAAAGAGGACCAGAAAACCATCACCATGGGCTCTTTCCACAAGTTAGTAGCGGCTTGCCACTGGATGGCAATGGTACTACCATTGGTGTCATTGTTGGCCTGCTTGCACATTGCAGTAACCAACAGCAACCACTCCGCTGACAAAGTTGTAACAAGCTACAATGACGAAGATTCGTTGTTTCACCAGCATCAAAGGCAGCTCTACTATCACCGCAACAGAAATTCTGGATACTATCAACGAAGGAGAAGACGAAATTCCTCCTCCACCTCCAGCTACCCTTCAAGACTGGCTACAGGTATCCTCTTCACTTTAGCAGTAGTGGTGTGCCTCATTCTATGCATCCTGTTGCCCCTCTGCTACCCCTTATCGCTTTGGGATTTCTTAAGCGTCTACTTTCACTGGAACAATGTGAGAGCGCTCCTGCAAACAGCGAGTACATGAATGCTTGTGATGTTCTGGAGTGAAGTGTCGGGAATTCAGAGGGCATCCAAAGAAGCATAATACTGTCCAATGATCAGCAAAAGACAAGAGAGCATCGAATGATTCAATCAATCCCTCAGCTTTTGACCACAGCCCAGTCAATCTGCACCGATTGAATTGAGATAATCAACGGGGATTCCTGGAGTAGGGTTAAATCCAAAAGACTGGGAAGAGCCTACTACTGATGATAACAAAAGCCAGACTCATGAAAAGAAGAAAGTTGTGAAAGCGGTTTTGGGATCGATCTACGACAACAATCAAAAAGGACTGGAACCACGGAATTGAGTTGGCAAGAACAAAAGACAACAGAGGGGCGTGCTTTTGCTTCGGGCTGGGGAATGGGTTCTGCTTGTTTCATTGGGTCTTGCCTGCAGCATAAGAGAACGTATCTGTTATGGTTGACTTTACCTCTTGTACTCTGATGCTTATTGAAGAGTTGCCATTGCAAGCGTTAGAATACTGTACGGTCTATATTTGGTTCCTCATTTTCAAACAGATGAGCATACTAGTACAGCATACTTACCGACAGATCTATGATGTCCTGGAAGGTTCTTTGGAGGCAACTTTCTCATGTGAAATACAGGTAAAGCTCTATGATAGTTTTTTATTAAATACATGTTGGCATCCAAAAGGCACGTGTTCATCCAACTACTAGTACAGCACATATAAACACTGCATGAGCTACTGTACCGTATGGTAGCTGTCTCAAAGCATCACCTATTTCCATGCCTGCCGTGCATTCAACGCCTGGGTCTCACCCCCACGATACCCATTGAATGCAATCGAAATTTCAGAAGCGTCGTCCATCCACACCAAACAGCGCACCAATTTCGAAATGAAAGAGGAAACGGACGCGTTGGCCTACACATGAGGGTAATGGATCTTCTCAATGAGGGCCTCCGAACGAGCAAGTCGACCGAGTGGAACACGATACGACAGATTGCTGTGATGGTGCTCGCGAGAACCCTCTTTTCCTTTCGATGGAGCAGCGCATGTTCATTCATTATTCCCAAGTTTGCTTGGCTGATCCAACAATCTTTGAAGGGCAACAATGACTTGTTTTCTACGCTTGACGCTCCTCTTTTCTTGTGCCGTGGCTGTGTTGGCATCGACTCAGCTGCGAACGGAACGGATGCTACGCAACAGGGGACGCTACAGCGACTGTAACAATTGCGATTGTGGGTGTGGTAACGGCGAACGTAGCGGTAGTAGCGGTGGTGGCGTTGATACCGGTAGTAGCGGTGGCAGTAAGTGTCATTTTGTTTCGATGCGTTGGAAGTACAGTATGCACTCCCGAAGCCTGTGACCTAACTTCTTCTTCGTTTCGTTTCAATGCAGGCACCCGTGGTCGAGCCCTACATGCAGCGCAAGACGAAGACCTCAAGAAGGAAGCCGAAGAAATCGAGGCCGAGGCTCAAATGGTTGTGAAGGAAGCCAAGCACAAGCTGCGACTGGCCCTTCGTCAGAAGAGCAAGAAGAAGCGAGGACGCAAAAGAGAAAGAGAAAGAAGTGCAAGTGTAACGAATCTGAAGACGAGAACATGAAGATCCCTCTCACTAAGGTTCGATCCATTGCTGGGCTCGACCGAGACGACTACAAGGGTTCAGCCGAGACCCCGTTGATGCGCATGATTGAGGAGACTACCTACACGGACCAGAAATCGGATATGCCTCATGGTCGAAATGCTCGCACAGTTAGTAGCTTGATGTGCAAGCAGGATGATCGGATTTACAATGCTAAGGGTCTTTCTGACATGGTGTGGGCGTGGGTAAGCAACGCATTTACAAATCAACATGCAGTGTTTGCACATTTCTCAATTCTAACGGCGTTGCTCGTTGTTGCTTTCCAAAGGGACAATTTCTAGATCACGACATTGACCTGACTGATAGCGCCGGGTCCTTTGGCATGGCCAACATTGAAATTTACAATGAGTACAATGACGACGTTCTCGCGCACAATGGATGCAGTGTCATTCCCTTCCATCGAAGCCAATACGTTGAAGAGCCTCGCCAGCAAGTCAACTTGATGTAAGATTTAGCCTGTCATGGATCGTAATTGGTAGCTGTTTGAGAGTATGAAACTTACCTGTACTTGTCTTGTCCCCTTTGTAACAATCCAGTACGCATTTCGTGGATGGATCAAACGTCTATGGATCCGATGAGTATCGGGCAAGGGCTCTTCGGGCGGAACATGATGGTCTGCTGAAGACTAGCAATGACGGTTGGTCTCTTCCGTACAACACAGAGGCTCTGACGAATGCTGGTGGGACAGGATCGCATCTGTATCTTGCAGGCGATATCAGAGCCAATGAACATGCTGGTAAGTTACACCAAACTGCAATTGAGCTCCATTCACTGCACTGGTCCGCCATGCTCAACTCTTTTTCCTCGAACAACCAACCAGGGCTAACTTCAATGCATACCCTCTTTGTGAGGGAGCATAATCGTCTCGCACGGAAGATCAAGTATTACTTCAAGGATGCCTCTAGTGACGACATCTACGAACTGGCTCGCAAGATTGTAGGGGCTGAGATGCAGAAGATTACATACTACGAATTCCTTCCCGCCCTACTGGGACCTTACGCTCCAAACATGCAACGATACAGGGGCTACAAGCGGAAGGTTGACCCTCGCATATGGAACGAATTCTCGACTGTGATCTATCGTTTTGGCCATTCCATGGTCACGGGCGACCTGAAGCTTGCCAAGGACGGACGAATCTTTGATTCTGTTGATCTCCGGGACATCTTTTTTAACCCGGGCTTCCTCAATAAAGACGATACAAGTTATCTGAATGCGGACTACTTGATTGGTGGCTTCATGTCAAATCAAGCCCAGGAGCTTGATGTCAATGTGGTACGAGACCTTCAAGACTTTCTCTTTTCCTCCACAAATTCAAACAGCAGTTGTTTGGATCTCGCCTCTATGAACATTCAGCGCGCTCGTGATCATGGGTTGCAACCGTACAACATTTACTCCGGATCGAGCAGAGGTCGATCGTCAATCATGCAATCATGTCATTGGTTTCTCGGAAAGGCGCCATTTTCAAGGAGCCAAAGTTCGCTTACGTCCTCAGCCCACGTGCCCTTCCGCCAGGCGCGTGGATCCATGGATGAGGCAACCCTCAAAAAATGCAGCTTTCCACGGCGAAAGTGTGGACACACATGAGGCTCCATTCGATTTGATTCGATTCAGATTCGATTAATCAATTGATTATTCATCGATCCAGCGAATGTCAATCATGTGACGCTTCTCTTTGTGGCATTGCGAACCCCAATGATCACCTTCCCATCACCGCCACACAACTCCGTTTTCTCGCTTTCTCACAACTCACTTGCTTCTCGACCCACAAACCACCACATCAATCAAAAACAGAGACCAACAACTAACAAACAAGACCTCCTTCAAAGAGTACCAATAATTCCAATCCTTTGACCATGTCGACTTATGCATTGCACCACAGCGCCTTGGAGCGTCGCAGGGTCATGCTCCAGAAATTGGGTGGGGATGCCAAGCGCCGCGAAGCCATTGATATTTTCTACAAGAAACAAATGGAAGATGAACGTCTATTGAACTTTTTTGAAGGCACGGATATCGAAATTATCAAATGGCACCAGTTCAACCTCATGTCGATTGCCTTTACGGCTGTCCCCAGAACCTTTGATGTATCTTCCTTGCTGTTGACTCGACACCGTTCGCTATTTGACGCTGGACTCGACGAATCTCATTTTGACATTGTCGCCAAACACTTTACGGACACGTTGGAGGAAATGAACGTGGATGCCGAGTTGATAAAGGAAGCCCTGGATGTAGTGACACCGCTGCGAAATATTTTTCAAGAGGGTGCTCGTCAAGCCAAGAAACGAAAGGAAACGGCAGAATTCCGAGGACGTCTCAAAAAGCTAGTCTTTGTGGCCATTGCGGCAGCGCTCATGGTCCGATATGCGCGCCAGAACAAGAAATAAAGGTTTTCTAGCGCTGGAACGACGAAGCGAAACTGGTTCTGCTCTTCCTTGAGTGTTCGGCACAAACCAAACATTGTAGAGGCGCTTGGCAAAAAGGGCTACAATCTTCCAACAATCGGCTCCTACATTGATTTCTAACTCTTCCATGAGCAGGCAACCAATGTTTTCAGCGTAGTAACAATGGAGTTGAAATTCCACTGTAACTGTATCGATAGCGTGAAGTGTCATTGAACCACCTAGCTAGCTAGAGGCTAAGGCATGTTTGTAGAAACTATCAGTCGGAAACGATGCAAAAACAGAATAGTAGGAGCCTGTGAAACCTTGACATGCCTGCTACTCTACTGCGTTACATGCATCTTCAATGGTTCCAATGTCAACCTTCCTGATCTTCCTGATGCACTACTCCGCGGCACTTTCTATTGCAGGTACATGTAGCACAACACATTAATGGAGCCAATTTGCAGTGCCATTAATAATGTGTCTACTCTATTAGTAAGCCATACTAGTACCGGTTTCAACAGCAATGTTGGCAAGGCCTTGAAGCAAGACTTGTCAAGGCAAGAAAGTTAGACATTTGGGACAACAATACAGTACCGTTGAACGTGTGGGCAGCCATGGTGGCATTTTTCTGTATGATAGTATGGTGCCCTGAGTGTGAATGATCCCTACAACAAGCAAATCCTACAACTGTTGCCTTGAGAAGGCATCTATTGGACCAGAAAAGACCCAAACAGACAACCTTTCCTGTCTGTGTGAGGTTTCAGTTTTTATTAAGATGTTTGCCTACTACTTTATATGTAATTGTATGTTTACGTTTCTCTAATTTGATCCAGTGACTTCACACTGTCGAGCTTTCAATCCAGCTGGCCATCCTCATCTTTGAAGAAAAGGAGCCCAGTTGGGCCGGGGGCCCTCAGCCACACCATCCTTCATTAGCGCCTCTTTGAGTGCCTAATCTTGCACAGCAAATAACAGACATTGTTGTCTTATCATTTTTAACTGTCAAAGTCGTCTTCCACAATATCAATGGCCATGGAAATGATGTCATGCAACCTTGCCATCCTCTCAGCCCCGTCATTGTTGGCAGCAATGGGGCGGTTCCTGTTGGGGGCATCTGCAGGGCGGTTGGCATGTTGCATGGTGTAAGCAATCTTCACTGCACTCAGAATGGTTACTTGGGAGTCTGCTGCTTGCCTTGCAGAGGCTGCTGTCCTTGCGTTGTCCGTTTCATTGCCATTGGTGGCGTTGGTATTGGGCGATTGGTCCATGTTCACGAAACCTCTTCTTTTATGGCAACTGAGAGAGTAGCAAGCCGAGTGAAGGATTGCTGGCCTCCGTAGACAATCCACCTACGACTCTGGACCCCCCTTTGGATTGGTAACAAAAAAGACCTACAGACACCATACCATCCGATCTGCGGTACCGGTAGTGGTAGCTAGTAGTCGCGACTGACAAGCGCTCATCCATGCTTGATTGAGATTCTGATGCGACTGTGATTCATTCCAAGACCTCTGTGGATCGCAACCAGAACATCAGAAGACTGCATTATTTGGGTAGGCGAGGTAATCTTCTAGTTGAAGATAAACGTTAATTTATAAAATGTTTTGAATGTTTTAAATCATCTACCTGCGTCCCAAAGTTGGCTGGAATGGAATCTTTTTTCTCCAGAAAACAGAATACAAAGAATGAAGTCGAGCAGAAGTCCGGTTCTGAAGAATACCAGTTCCAATCAATTATCTCGAAATCTACAGTGCTGGATGTCGTGAAAGGGCTGAATAAATTCTACTTTTAACGTGTTAAGAAAGAGTCAATTTGGTGTGAAGACCAAACTCCTAACCGGTCTGCGGTACCGGTACTGTCCTGCGGTCTTGCCTTTCTCTCCGGTGGGGAGAAGGCCCGCTACCAGGTACCATCAAGCATCACGATGACAGTGGATCTTCGAGGCCAACAGCTTGAAGCCTTCACTTTTTTATAATGAAAGTGTGATTAGAGGAGCCACAGAAGCAACTTGTAAATTTAAAAGAAAGGTGGCATTCTCACTTTTTGCTGCGTACAGTACTGTACAAGTAAGTAAGCTAGTAAATTAACTAAGTGTGATTGGTTTGACGTACCAGCAAGAAATGAATCGAATCAGGAAGTAAACCAAATATTTCATTTTAAGTTACTAGCTAGCTACTAGCTAGTAGTAAGTTTTTAAGGGTTTAAACTGTTTAAAAACGGTGCCACTCGGCACCAGAACTCCAGCCTGAAGGCTTGTCTCTGTCAATCCCAGTAAATTATTTAGTATTCTCACTTTTTGCTGCATTAAATATTTGATAAATTCGGTGCCTTCCTGTAGTACCGTTAGAAAACAAACAGAACAGAAGCCTCTCGGCGCAGTTTGCGTACTTCCGTGCAGCTGATGATGATCACCCAGAATATTCTGCTCAATGGAATCTTCACTCGAGTTCGTACGGTATTACACACCTTTTGTGCATTTGCCCGCCTAGCTAGAAGCTACTAGTACCTAGAGCAGCTCACTTCCTTTCCACCGTTCAACACGTCACACACATCTCTTCCAAATTTGCAATCGCTGGCTGCCTGCAACACACTTTGCTTCGAGAAAACAGAACAAAAGGAAGAGACTACAATCATGACCATGGAGGAGTGATCGGCCGATTCCAACCAGCTTTCCAACCCGACCAATGTCAACAACTCGAGCAACTCGAGTACAGCGGCCTCGGCCTCGGCATCTGCAAGGCGAGAAACAGACTCCCAAGCAAGCATTCTGAGCATGGCGATGCGGGCTTACACCATGCAGCAGACCAACCGCCCTGCAGATACCCCCACCAGGAACCACCCTGTCGTTGCCAACAACAAGGCTGAGAGGATGGCAAGGTTGCAAAGTCTCATTTCCGTGGCCATGGATATTTTGGAAGATGACCTGGACTAGTAAACAAAAGAAGACGACAAGGGATGTTTTTAGTCTCCAAGATCAGGCAATCAAACGAGACACTAAGAACGATTGCATGGCTGAGGGCCATCAACCGAACAGGTCTTCTTTCCTTGACTTGAAGAGTGATGGATTCAACTTACTAGCAGGAAAGTCCCTGGATGGAACAGAAGAGAGCCTATAAATATCAGTAGTACGTATGATATTTTTAAAAGTAGTAGTCAAACATATTTAACCTCACACAAACATGGTCAGAAGAGTGGCTGAATTCTCTGATTCTTCCCTGGTTCCCATGGATGCATTCTCAAAGCAGTAGATGTAGGATTTGCATGTGGTCAGGATCATTCATCACCCCTGCAGCGGCTCCTGTAGCGCAGCCTGCTTGGTACGACTGTACCATACGCATACTGTACCATACCGGTACCGGTTTTTTACAGTACATGTATTTAGAAGCTTCGCTGGCCTTTTTGCGTGTAAGAAGAGTTCAATTACTTAACCTCGGCAGTCTATCTGCCTGAGCCCTCTACCCCTTTTACCTCGGCAGTCTATCTGCCTGAGCCCTCCACCCCTTTACCTCGGCAGGTAAACTGCCTGAGTTCTCAACCCCTTTACCTCGGCAGGTAAACTGCCTGAGTTCTCAACCCCTTTAATGCTATTCCGTCTCCTGAGACGGCGCTCCTTTAGGTTACCCCCTCAGTTGCACTCTGAAATCGATTGGCTCGCGTTTACTGTGTAAATTAGTGTACCCGCACTTCAGTTGCAGAATCAACGGTCATGTGTATCGTTAAGTAACAAGTTCCCTTTCGAAAGATTTAGATCGATTCGTGGATAAAAGAACCGTTGAAGTTACTAAGGTTAAGGATAAACTGATTGCCTGCACATGTACCGGTACCGTTCAAGTCCATTGTTGAAGGTGCAGCACTGACTTCTCTCCCTCATTGAATTGCTATGGCAAACAGGAGAGAAATCCAAGCTCGGCCGACAAGAATGGTGTTGGAACGATCAATCGAATGGATCGCAAAGAGGTAAGCCTATTATCAAGAGTGTTTTTGAAGGTGTAGATTCGAAAGCCATCCCTCATTCATTTCTATGGACCATGGGCAGGCAATCAGATCTCGGTCGTCAACAGGTGAGTTGTTTTAATAATTCGAATCGAATCGATCGCACCTCTGTTATCCAAGCCTTTCTCAAGCCGTCCTTCTCTGGTACATATTCGAAAGCCATCCCTCGTTGAATCCTACGGACCGTGGGATGGCAGTCAGTTCTCGGCCCATGACGGCCAAGTTGGTGCAATTTGAAAAACAATGGTAAGTCCCCGGTCGTCTGCATGTGAGCACAGAAAACAAAACTCATATCTATTTGTTGTTTTCTCTGCTGTACTGCTGACGGCCGAGGAAATCCCATTGTCAAACGAACGATCAGTCGCTCCGGAGAACAAGAAGAGGAGAGGCTACCACTACCGGTACGGAGGAGACTGTTAACTCCAGCCCTACCAACAGTCTGAACGGATCGTCGTCGAGTCATTGAACGGCGACAGTCAACCGGAGGAGGCGACAACACACAAGAGAGTGGATCCTACTACTGGATTCACCCCTCCAGTGTTATTCCATAGTGTTTTGGTGGTGATTCCTGTGCTGGTACCCATTTTCCCGTGGGAACAGTGCTTGTGGAGGCTGGATTGACAATATTCATAATGTTCGGTTGTGCATGTATTCGTCATAAGGATCCAATGCAAGATACCGGCAAACATAATGTTCGGTTGTGCATGTATTCGTCATAAGGATCCAATGCAAGATACCGGCAACGGAGTGTAGCCAGCAAAGCGGAATCTGAGTGTGTTCGGTACTGTTGATACTGTCGCCGAT